CCTCTTCGCGCTATGCGAGGTATCAACTGAGACTAGCAGTCACAATCTATCATGGGCCGGAGAGAAAGAGGCACACCCCCTTGGTTCAATCTTGGTACTTCACAACGCAAGCAGAGACAAGGCCATCTGGCACAGAAAAAGAGAGAAAAAAAAGAGAAAAAAAGGAGAAAAAATAAGAATGGAAACCGTAAGGAGAAGAGAAAATAAATGAACATAAAATGAAAATGAAAAAGGGCGAGGACAAAGAGGGACCAGGCCGAAAAATAACAAGAAGTATGAGGCAGAACAGGCACACGGTGGGGAAACCACTAACGAACAAGCAAACACGCAAACATGGCCACCAACCAGCGATACATTGTAATGGTACGAAATCACTACTACTGGGGGGTTGGTGCAATGGTGCAGCGTTGGGGGGGGGGAATTGGCGAAAAAAAAATCAATCCGATAGCATGCACGATAATCCCTCTCTATCTGTAGTACGGAATTGTATAATTTTTCGTGATTTTTATTTTTTTTTTGCGATAGTGATACCGTGGTGTCGAGTAGCTGAGATTGCTGGCGGCTCCTCCCCAACGTTGTGGTGTCGCCCCGGACTTGTGGGCGGGGATGAATCCGCCGAATAGTCCCTAAGATCAAACATGTTGTAGAGTTCGTGCATCTTGTTAAAGGCGTTGCAGCCTTCAGTGTCATAGGGTAAGCTCACCTCCCCCTGATCGCGAAGGGCGCCCTTGGCCGCTTGTGCAGCAGCATCACCATCACCCGCAGTAGATGCGGAGCCACCGTTACGGGACGAACTCCAAGCGCCTTCACCGCCGTTTGAGGCACCACCACCGCCACTGCTACTGCCGCGGCTACTTCGCCTCGTCGCCATAGCTTTGTGGGAAAAGGTGTATAGCCTAGGTGTGTGCGCTGCTACGCTACTGGCTGTGGTGCACCAACAACTTTTGCTGGAGAGGGGGGGGTAACGAAAATACATTTGTTTGAACGCCCCCCCCCCTGTAAACGCAAACGGCTCTTATCTGCTGCGCTCTAGCTCCTCTCTCCGTTTACAGCTCCTACAGTATAATATCTGCTGTGCGAGAAGTTAACATCTCGTTTTCGGGATGGTGGATCGCGCGACGAGGCGATATGAACCACCATCACCTGTCGACGGCAACAACGGTGGTAGTATTGTTCCCTAACCCTGTGGGTGCCGATACCCTGTCGTGGCTAGAATTCGTGACACTGAGGACCAAACGACATTCGCAAGGTTTTACTTACGTGACCCTGTGGATAACGTAACACTGGCAAGGTTCCCCGAAATACCCTGTCGAATTGTGAAGACCGGCATGGTGTGTTCCTTCATCGACCCTGTGCGTATCGGTACCCTGTCAAGGCGATAATATGTGACCCTGTGGATTATCAATACCCCCAAGGTTTTGTGACGCTACTGCGGATGACGTACACTGCCAAGGTGAACAAGACGACCCTGTGGAGTTTTTCAAGCCCCAACTAGTGTGTTGCTTCACCGACCCTGCGGATATCTGCGGGTATCGACACCCTGTCGCGCGATAATTTGTTACCCTGTGGACTACACGGTATCCCCAAGGTCAGGTTTTCGTGACCCTGCGGATGACGTAACACTGGCAAGGTGCACACAATGACCCTCCTGTAGAACTTTCAAGCCGTTCCTTCACCGACCCTGTGGGTATGGGCACCCTGTCATGGCGAGAGCTTGTAAACCTGTGGACCACACGGTATTCCCAAGGTCAAGTTTTGGTGACCCTGCGGATGACGCAACCCTGGCAAGGTGCACCGAATGACCCTGTAGAACTTCAAGACACAGATAGATGGTCTGTACCTTCGCCGATCTTGTGCGTATCGACACTCTGTCACGGCGATCATTTGAAACCCTGCGGGCCACACGATACCCCCAATGTTGGGTTTTCGTGACGCTGTAGATGACGCCACCCTGGCAAGGGTCACAGAATGACCCTGTAGAACTTTCAAACCCCACATGGTGTGTTCCTTCACTGACCCTGTGGGTATCGACACCCTGTCGTGCCGAGAACTTGTAACCCTGTAGACCACACGGTATCCCCAAGGTTTTAATTACGTGACCCTGCGGATAACGTAACACTGGCAAGGTTCACCGAATGACCCTGTGGAACTTTCAAGCCCCAAATGGTGTGTTTCTTCACCGACCCTGTGGGTATCGGCACCCTGTCGTGGCGAGAGCTTGTAACCCTGGGGACCACACGATATCACCAAAGTTTAACTTTCGTGACCCTGCGGATGACGCCCCCCGGCAAGGTTCATCGAATGACCCTGTAGAACTTTCAAGCCCCGCAGGGTGTATTTCTTCGCCGACCATGTGGGTACCGAAACCCTGTCATGGTGAGCACGTGGCACCCTGTGGACTATACGATATCCCCAAGGTCAGGTTTTCGTGACCCTGCGGATGTCCCCACCCTGGCAAGGTTCACCGAATGACCATGTAGAATGTTCAACCCCCACATACTGTACTACGTCGCCGACCCTGTGGGTACCGAAACCCTGCCATGGTGAGCACGTGGCATCCTGTGGACTATACGATATCCCCAAGGTCGGTTTTTCGTGACCCTGCGGATGACGTAACACTGGCAAGGTTAACCGAATGACCCTGTAGAATTTTCAACCCCCACATACTGACTACGTCGCCGACCCTGTGGGTACCGAAACCCTGTCATGGTGAGCACATGGTACCCTGTGGACCATACGATACCCCCAAGGTCAGGTTTTCGTGACGCTGCGGATGAGGTAACCCTGGCAAGGTCCACCGAATGACCCTGTGGAACTTTCAAACCCCACATGGTGTGTTCGTTTGCCGACCCTGCGGGTATCGGCACCCTGTCGTGCCGAGAACTTGTAACCCTGTAGACCATACGCGATATCCCCAAGGTCGGGTTTTGGTGACCCTGCGGATAACGTAACACTGGCAAGGTTCACCGAATGACCCTGTGGAACTTTCAAGCCCCAAATGGTGTGTTTCTTCACCGACCCTGTGGGTATCGGCACCCTGTCGTGGCGAGAGCTTGTAACCCTGGGGACCACACGATATCACCAAAGTTTAACTTTCGTGGCCCTGCGGATGACGCCCCCCTGGCAAGGTTCATCGAATGACCCTGTAGAACTTTCAAGCCCCGCAGGGTGTATTCCTTCGCCGACCCTGTGGGTACCGAAACCCTGTCATGGTGAGCACGTGACACCCTGTGGACTATACGATATCCCCAAGGTCAGGTTTCCGTGACCCTGCGGATGTCCCCATCCTGGCAAGGTTCACCGAATGACCCTGTAGAATGTTCAACCCCCACATACTGTACTACGTCGCCGACCCTGTGGGTACCGAAACTCTGTCATGGTGAGCACATGGTACCCTGTGGACCACACGATACCCCCAAGGTCAGGTTTTCGTGACACTGCGGATGACGTAACACTGGCAAGGTTAACCGAATGACCCTGTAGAACTTCCAAGACCTACATGGTGTGTTCGTTTACCGACCCTGCGGGCATCGGCACCCTGTCATGGCGATAACTTTTAACCCTGTGGACCATACGATATCCCCAAGGTCGGGTTTGGTGACCCTGCGGATGACGTAACCCTGGCAAGGTTCACCGAATGACCCTGTGGAACTTTCCAGACCCACAGCGTGTGTTTCTTCGTCGACCCTGGGGGTACCCTAACCCTGTCATTGTTGACCCAGTGACCCTGGCAATATTTTTTACCTCGACAGGGTACCCATAGGGTCAGCTACAGGGTGAAACCCTCCACAGAGTGTCCACAGCCCTGAGCAAAGTGGCCACCGGTGGAGTATCGGTTCCGGCTACCTGTCCTTGGTAGCTGATGACCTTCCGCTTGAAATACGTGCGCTGGGATCTTTACACTTTGTATAGACACATTTCCTCCGTCCGTTATGCCTTGAAATACGTTGCAACGTATTGGATCATCGCCATTCTTTGTCATGGGCGGAAAGCATAGCGCAAGTATGCAGCCAGCTTTCGCGAGGTTGAGCGGTAAGGGCAGGCGGCGCAGATGAATGGCCTACGAGTTCCGGGCATGCGCAGTATTGCATCGCGTTACCCGCTGTGTGCCCCCGAGAAAGAGAGCGACTGCCGAGAGGAAGAAAACGTCGGGTGCCTAACCCAAAGTGTCCACAAACATGCGTACGTATGCATACATCTAACAGAGAGAGTTTTGCCATTTCCACCGTGGTTGCCCATGGTTGCCCAGGAATACTCATGGAGAATGGCTGCCCATGGGTATACTCATGGGTACCCATGGGTATACCCATGGGTACCCATGGGCACGAATTAGGATAATCTACAACACCCGATTCCGTGCGCTCTGGAAGAATTCCTGGCAGTGATCCAAGGTCCTCTGCGCCGCACCGTGGCTGCTGACGGCACCCAGTACGTGTTCGAGAGGACGGGGGCCAAACCTTGCGTGGCTGAAGAACGTCGTGTCCAACGAGTGCAGGCCTACCCGCCCGTACTTGGCCGCGTCCCTGATCCCACATCCAACGATAACCACTGGTGGCATGTTGTGAACAAACGTTTTGCATCGCGCCAGGGCGAAACGCAGAGCGTACGACATGTTCTCTCCGAGCTCGCTATCGGTGATACTGGCGCTCCTTGTATCACGAACGCTCAGAGATTTTAGGCTGTGTGCGATGTTGGCGGACCACTGGCTATGATGAGCTTGCAAGAGCTCGCACTCCTGCTCTGAGAGCGGGTGATATGCCTCGAGGAGGTTACCAGCGCGGGCCAAGCGGTAAGCGCACGTCAACAACTTGCTGACGCTGTTGAGCTCCTCTTCCCAGGAACCACGCATACGCTCCGCCGGCGGTGCTAAGGTATGCCCCCCTCTCACAACATCTCCCGTGAACAAGTATACCCTTGTACTAGATCGTCGTCGGCGACACATCCTAGCCCGCCTAGAAAGTTCAGCTGGCTCAGCGACCCAGGTTGTGCGGCGAACTCCTTCAAGGGCTCGTCGTGTCGGTCTGACCAGAAGTTTGCGGGCAGGGTGTCGTCCATGGGGATTTTGGTGAAGACAGCCAGCGATAGGTCCCGCACAGTATCCACGCGCTCTTTGATCAACATCAACTCGCTGGTCTTCATGTTGCTCTCTGGGTCGATGCCGTCACCACTCCCATTGGCTCTGTCGATGGCACATTCGGGTTCCAGAGCATCCCAGTTTTCACGCCGCTGAGAGCCGGTACAACCGAACCCATCATCACTGTATACTTTGTCACCAGATGGGTGATGAACCGCCGGAGGTCGGTGTCCAGTGTCACCCCTTCACCGCACCGGTTGTTCAGGAGCTCCCACTGAGTGATTGTGGAATCTGGACCTTCCAGTGCGTATTTGCCGCGATCGACTGATTTCACCACGTGGACCCCGCCATCGATCTCGACGCTCGTCTCGCCGAAAACCACCCCGATGCTCTTCGGGTCGAACATGTAGGACTTGTCGTAGTAATACCGCAAATGCCTAATCTCGGTACGCTTGTGGTAGACCCCTTCAAAGATCTCGATATCATCCTCTCCCTGGTCAGCACACAGGCCATCACCCAGTAGTTTGACCATGACCGGGATCGAAGTGTTTCCACTCGGTTCATTTGCTGCGCGGGAGAACGTAACCTTACTCTCTTCAGCTTTTTCACAACCCAACTCTCTTTTGCTGCCCATCCACTCGCGACTTCCGTCCTGCCTAACCAGGCGTGCGATTATTTTGGTAGAAGAATATAGCTTTGGTCGTCTATTGTACGCGACCTTTAGCACGGGGCCGCTCCCCCTCCCTCCCCCTCTCCCCCTGCCGCTCCCTCTCCCCCTGCTGCTGCCAATTCCGATACCGCCACCGCTGCCATCACCGTCACCGCTTCCGCCACCACCGCTGCCACCGTCATCATCGCTGCCATCTCCACCGCTGCCACCACCGTCACCGCTTCCACCGTCGTCATCGCTGCCATCTCCACCAAAGTCGCCACCAAAGTCGCCACCAACGTCTCCACCAACGTCGTCAACGTCCATAGCCTCGAGACGATTGTCTTCAGGAGTCGCATCGGCCGTTGTTTTCGCTCTCTTTCGTCCACCAACCGGATGATGTTGCGCTTCCTCCGCTCCCACCGCCCTCTTTGACTTACACTGTTATTTTGGGGGAGAGAGATGGGAAGCCGGTGTCGATTTTAAGCGAAAGGGGGAGCGGAAGGCGGTTGCGTACACAAGCGCAACCGATGTGTGGGGGCAACGTGTGTCGTTTGATCATACCAACAGCAACAAACCAATCATAAAATTCTCACATTTCCGTCGGAAACCTTCTCCTGCCTCTCGGTTACGTGCGATGTTGAAGAAGCAGCCTCCAACTCCTCCTGTTTTTCCTTCTGTTTGGCCTCGTGCACCGTGCGCGCCGCGTCGCGCCGATCCTTCGTCTCGGCCATCTTTTTGTCATAAGCTTCCTGATCAGCCCAGCTTGCCCACACCGCCTCCCTTGCTTGCCAGTGATCGTGGTCTTCATCTTGCTTGCCAGCTCCGGTTTGCATCGCATCCAGATCTCTAGCCCTACGGTTTCTTTGACCTCGCCCTGTGGCACTCTGCGCAAACGACGTGATAAATGCATCGGAGACATTTGTTCGTAAGTTCGTCAGTAGATTCCGATGGGGCTATACGAAACAGGGTAGGCCACCGTTGGCTGGTACATTATACGTGGACCCAGACTCGTGCCAGAATAAAAACCGTACCTGAGACGCCATTTCTGCACCCCGAATCGGCGTCCACCGGTAGTATCACCAGCTGTCGGTACCTGTGCACGTTTGTTCATCGTTGGGGGCGGGGCGGTGGGTTCGTGTGGTGTGAGAACGAGAACACAATATTGGCGGGTTGGGTGAGTGTGTTG